TCAAGGTACAGGGGGAAGGACTGTCTTCCTGAAGAGACTGTAGACATTCCTTGAGTGCGACATACACACTGGGCTGTTTCATTTGTTTCCCAACCAATTTTATTTTTATTGCCTATCAAGTTTGCTACTTACTTAAAAATGATCACTGGGAAATGCATCTAGGTGTCATTTGGGCAAAACATCTGGGGATGTCAGAATAACCTTTAAATGAGAATACAGTTGACTCTCTGGAGACACAGACCCTTATCTTGATAGTGAAGCAGCTCTGTCCTTTCTGCATGCTCTGCAGTGCCCTGGCTCACCTCCATCTCTACCCCTCAGCAGGCGAAGAGGAGGTGAGAGGTAGCTACCTCCTCCTCTTTATCCAAACAGCAACAAAATTCCTCGGCTTGACTGTTCAATAATCCTATGCCAGGTGGCTTTCTCCCTGTCTTATGGGAATGCAGTGAATCTCACCTTAGTGTACTTGGCTATTGCACATCCTGAGGGCTGGGGGCCTGCATCTGTCAACTCAGCAGAGTTGCAGTCAAACTTCTGAGTATGGATCACATCCGAGCCCTAGAACTTCTGAGAGCCTGAGGCTTCACAGCTGTAGAGGAAGAACAGTGATCTGGGGTAGGGAGGATTCGAACTCCACTGGTTGCTTGGCTACTCTCAAGGGCAAGCTTCCTCTTTCCTCTTTTTAGGGGCCTTTACATGAGCTAAGGTTTTCACAGGTATGCAGGTTTCACTTGGTTTTCTTCCTGCCTCCTCTTCCTCTGACCTCAGAGAAGGTAAACCTCTGCTTCATAAGCTCTCAATTGTTACTCAGGGCATCAGCAGAACAACAGGAGAGATAGATGCACTAGGTCCTAAATAATACCAAACACACATTTCAGGGGATTACTTCAATGGTTCATGCAGAGAACCAGGGGAGAGGTGACTGCTGCAATATAATTTTTACCACTGGCATCAGAAGCACACATTCCAAGATTAGACCTTTTTCAAAAGCAGGGAAAGGATAATGTTTGCTGTGTCTAACTGGAGTGAGTGATTAGGAAGTTTTTCTGTAGATAGAGCTTCAGCAAGAAGCCTGTGAAACACAGCAGAGCAGTTTGACTACTTTACAGAACAGTAAAGCCAATCCAGGCAGTTTGCCTACCTGCTTGCTAATGCTCCAAGAGTCCACAGCTGCCTCTCTCCCCAGGGAAGAGGCAGCTGCCTGTTCCTCAGGCAAGACTGGCCCCGCTTTAGCACTGCTGGAACTCCTTCCTGATTGGCCACAGATTTGCCAGGCCACCTGTCACTGCTCACTCAGCCACACCGGGAAGGCGAAAGCAGAAGAGAAACCAGAGTAGGAGGAAGGTATGAGCAGAGCCTGCAGGGCTACCACAGGTGGAAGCAAAGATAAGACTGAGTCATTAGTCTGTTACGTTATTAAACAAACAGTCATGTAACTTGAAACAAAATAACCCTGAAGCACTATTAATTGGGAAATCCAATGAAGAGTCTTGCGTACTTGGTGAAGAGCCAGTGACATAAAGCCCTGACTGTGGGGGCTTGTCCTTCCCAGGACTGCCACTACCTTGGGTTTTTGCAGGGCTGGCTGGAGCCCCCCTCATGGGGGCTGGGAAGAAATTGGGGTTGAGCCCACCATAGCCCTTGCTTACCCAGGCTCCTGCCTCCCCAGGAGCAGAGCAGTCTCTGCCATTCCAAGGGCATTCTCCCAACTCTCCCTTCTTTCACATGCTGCTACAAACACCGCCAAAATATATTTTTAAAAGTTATTTTTGATGAAAAGATACAAATAGTCTCCCACCTGAGTTTTATGCCCAGTAAATCGAATCTGGATCCCATAAGGGCACAGCAGTGTGTTTTACTCTCTGCTTCATGTTCTTTTTCCTGTCACCCACTCCTTTCCTCACTCCCCACTTATTTGTGCCCACTGGCCCTCCTGACATAGGCCAGACCCCACTGCATCCTCAGAACTCTACGTCACTTTTGAGTACCCCCAGCTTTCTCGACCTCCTGTACCCATTCCACACACCTGTCAAAACCTGCCTCATGCTCATCTCTCTCCCCTATATCCCAGAGCAGGCAATCTGTCCCACAGTCCAGTTGGTTCAGAGGATAGCTCTGTTCTCCTTAACATAAACCACCTCCCATCCTCTGCCTCTTTCTTACTAGGTGATTAACGCTCAAGTATTTTGCACTAAAGAAGGAAAGAAAGGAGGGAGCGAGGGAGGGAAGGAGAGAAGGGGAACAACCACAACAAAAATAAAAATCTATCTCTCTTTGACCCACTCTTTCCTTTCCCTTAGAAATATGTATTTTTTATCCTCCACGGTGCATGTTTTTCCCACCTTGGTACACATGACAGGAAGTATTGTGTCATAGCTTCATTGCAGTGCTTTTTCTTTCTTAACAGGAACACGGAGTGACATGTGTCAGTATCGGTGGCATCTTGAATGTAATGAAATGTGGCATGCTATTTGAAAGAAGCCACTATATCCCCATTGTATTGTGTTGTCTGGTCCTCAATTATTGTGCTCTGGTTTCTGTTCCCAACTACCCCTCAGAAAAATGCTACCCCACAATCACTCAGGCTCTCTTATCTTCAAAACTAGGGTTTTTAAGTTTGCTAGATGTACCCGTAGTTTTTGACAGTGGTGACCTCCTGAAATTTGCCACCCTCCCTCTCCTGCCTCCTACCCCCCATCTCCTCTGGCAGGTCTGTTGCACATGTGCTCACCCCTTCTCTTAGTCCATGGAAACAGCATTCCTTGGGGTTTATTCCTCAGTCCTCTTCACTCTACACTTGTTTTATCTGTCACCCACATGTCAGACTCTCTAGTTTGGGTCTGTACATGAATTTCTCTTCTGAGTACCCACCTGCAGTATGTTTCTTTCTTTTTATTTTCATTTCTTAAATCTAAGCCTCTCAACCTGGAACCATTTTCTCCCTAAGGGACATGTGGCAATGCCTTGGAAATATTTTTGTTGAATACAACTTGGGTTGGTGGAGAATATTACTGGCATCTTAGTGAGTGTTGGACAGAGATGCCACTAAACATTGTATAGTACATAGGAGTCCTCCACAACAAAGAATTAGCTGGCCCAAAATGCTGAGGTTGAGTGGTCCCTACCATATGCACTTTGGATGGTTAATGGCCCACACAGAACTTCCCCCTTAACATCTTCCATATGGCACACTACTGTATTCTGTGGTTATATCCATCCCTACTATTAGGTTCAAAGCTTATGAATACACTATACTTTATTCACCTTCTTGTCTCCAGTTCCTATTAAAGAATGTGAATGGAATATTGGATATCCAGCAGTGCTGTGAATTAATAGAATATATAACTATGTGATTTCCCTAGAGAAACTAAGCTCTCTAAAGGCCGAAACTATCATAACCTACTACTGGGTGTTGAAGAAGGTGGAAGCAGCGTGGGAAGATATGAAGATTCAAGACAGGTGAGAGAATTTGTAGAACCTAAGAGCCCATGCCTCTCTTGGCTGAGTATGGGCTAATACAATATGCTGAGTATGGGTCACACAATATGCAAAAGAAAAGAAGCATAAAAGCAATTTGGGTTCTATTACTATTCCTGAAATGGTGAAGAAGCTGAGTAAGTAAGGTAGAGAAAGCATAAACTAGGTCTATGTTGGTAAAATCCAATTTAAAAAGTTAGAATTAAAGGAAGAATTAGCCTAGATTGTACTTAGAATAGTAAATACACAATAAAGTAAAACCAAAGGTGGGACAGAGCCATAAAAATAAAGAAAAACCCTGGAAGAAAAAAGGATAAATGACAGTTTGGCAGTGGGTTAATTTTTCCACCCATTCTTCTATATTCTTATTTGGGCAATGTAACACTACACCTTTGAATTCCCAAAATTACTTAAAATAAACCTTTATCACATGGATTATAGCTTCGCCATTTTACCTTTAACTCTGCAACCTTCACAGGAGGCATCTTTTAAACAAAGCTGTCAGTTGTATCTGTGTGCCTTGCTCACATGGACTTATAGGGGTCTGTGTCATGCACCCCATGCCCCCTTTTCCTTTCTATTAGCCTCATTTCTCTTATTCATTCCAACTTGCTACATGATGTACATATTTGTAAACTGAAAACTTATACCTAAGGCAGGGCATAAATTCCTATTTTTTGTTCTGAATTCATTTGGACACCTTATGTGAGGAAACCTAGTTATGAAAGCAAATAAATTTGGGTACATGGGAAAAATTCTCCCTTGTGAATTAGAAAAGCGTAAAGCATCCCTATGATTGTAGAAGCCCTGCTACAGAACAGAGAAGCTTTCCTCACCCACAGGAGGGGTGGGCAGCTCCCTGGGACACATGCAGGAATCCCCATCTGTGTAGGTGAGTGCATGATGGCTCCACTCATCACCCTGAGATACTGATGAACAATGCCCTTGGCTGCTGGCTCACAGGACAATGGCTGATTTTCAGACAGAGGAAGGTGACCCATCTGGAGTCTTTTACCACAACCTAGAGAATAATATTGAAAAGAAAATATAAGACAGATGAGGTAAGTCATTTACATTTGTCTGAGGTCAGTTATTAAAAACCACATAAAAACAGACTTATACCATGTCAGATTTTCAGTTAATATGTGTTATACCCTACACCCTTTGAAAAGAAAGGATAATAATTAAAATAGGGACACGTTATTAGCTAATAAACTGTCCATCTGCATAGAATTTGGCAAAGAATAACATTGAGAGAAATGATCGTGGTTAAAAGTGGTATAGCCAGGTACACGCCCTCACCCCTACCAGCACGTGTGTTAGCATCTCATTCTCCACCTGAGGGATAAGGGATCTGGCTCTCAGAGCACCAGTCCACTTGGCTTGTTGTGTGAAGGGTTTGGTTCAATCACAGACTCTGGATTTTTTTCAAAGAAACCATTATTTCCATTTAGCTATGAAGTAAATAAGCAATCCACTAAAAATTTCAGTACAAAGAGGTTTTTATTGACATTGTAAGAAACGTTCTTGCTCTTTGTTACAAAAGGACTAAGTGGTTCTGAAAGCAAAAGTCAAGTCCATCTGTGACGGCTCCACCCGGCTCCACCTGGGGCTGGAGGTGGGCATGGGGCATCGAGCTCCAGCTGCAGGAAGATGCAAGGAGGGCCTGGGGCCAGCCACATCCGGACACTATGCCTACAATACTTAAATGTATTTACACGTCTTTCTTTTAAAAAGGATTACACATTTTATTTTTTAAAAATCTAAAAAAGTGAAAAAATGAACTTGTATTTTATCTTACATGCTTGCAGGATATGCAACAGTAACTTGTCAGAAGAGAGCACCCTCCTACCGGTTAAAGACAACATGGGAAATGAGGTTACAAGAAAGCTCAGACTCTACTACAATCATCTGCTCTCAGCTGGCTAGGAAGCGCACAGCAGTGAGCTCCAATTGGGCAACACCAAATGGTCCCTTGCATCGACACAATTAACATAAAATAAGGCACATACATCATAAGAATCAAAACTGTGGCTCAAGAGGATAAGCTAATGTATGAGGAGCAGGGCCAGTCTAATTAGTTCTTTAGAAAATAAAACAAAATGGTTTGACATATAAAAATGTTTAACAAAGATGTAAAACAGGAATACCAGGTATGAGCCTACATTATAAAGTAGGATGTGACGCCAGGGAGTTGGTAGAGAGAAGGCTGGAGGAGGCTTAGGGGGAGAGAGTGCATTATGCCACAGGAGATGCCAAGCCTACAGAGACCCATGTCCAGACAAGACACTTCTAGATGTCCCCAAAAGACCTTCCTAACACTGAATGTCACAACAGATCCATCCTCCTGAGATTTCCAGATTGAGAGAATCCACATATTGAGTTGAAATATGAGTGTCTCCTGCAAATCTAAAGACAGCAGCAAGGAAAACCAGCTTAAAAAGAAAACATAAAGAAACAGGGCAACCTGGAGAATCATCTGAAACTAAAGGAAAAAGCAGAGGCACAAGATGACAACAGTGCTTATTCCAACAGCTGTCCCTCCTTCCATGTGGGGCAAAGATGTTACAGGAAGTTAGGGGAATTGAGAAATGCAGGTCAAATCCAGGAACAAGGAGTAAAGAACTCAGATAGAGAAGGACAGGGATTGGGCCAAACCACAAGAACATGAAAGGTAAGACTAGGCCCTGGGGATTTTGAGGTTATTAGAAAAAAGAAAATTTAAGGAACAGATCACTAATTTTGTGACTCAATCATAACATGTTTGAGGAATCCAGAAAAAGCTTTACTTTTCCCACTGAAAACTGGTAGAGACTTGACTCTACTGAGCTGAGATCGGTAGCTGGTTTTTGCTTCTGGGGTCTGTTCCAAAGCAGATGCATCCTTTGATTTAAAAGAAGGTGCCGCATGTGGGAGGATGGCAGGTTGTGAAGGAGAAATCTCAGCAGCCCTCTACTAATCTCATGAATATCCATTCAGTTGAAGACAAACGAATTGTCTTAGCCACAAAGTCCCAAAGGGACGTTTACCTCCACGCTGAGATACTTGGTCCAAGAGAACATAAACATCAGAAAAATGGGCTGGTCCTAACGTTCTATTATCTAATATTTTATTTACCTGGTTTTGTCTTTCTCATGCTAATTTAAATGGAAGTAATAAAGGTAAAAAGCCACACAACTGAACCATGAGTTACTTTGGATAAATCCAGTTCCAAGATCAGTGGGAAGAGTACAGCAAGTAGTCTCAGGTGTTAATATTTTAATAGTTTATATATTTTTTAAAAAGTAAAATGGTAGATAATCCATGTACTCTGTGCACACATAGTATGTTTTTATGTGTACTTACAGCACATGGGAAGTGGCTGCACTTTTAAAATATTTAAGTGTGTTAATCTAAAACAAAGGATAGATTAAGCCCACATCAAGGACTAAGGCAGAGAACATTTAACTTCTTAAGTGGATGCAGAACTTAATAGATAGGGTATAAAGGGACATCCATACAGCTACTAAACAACCTACCTGGTCTCTGAAATATCAGAAATGGTTGAAGCAATTTATTCTAATTATCACTGTATGTGAGTTCTTTTTGTTACAACTAAATTTTATAAATCCTTGAAAATAGCGTGTTTAGAATAGTAGTCCTTTACTATAGTGGGGTTAACGTATGTTAATGACAGACAGCTGTGGGGTTGTTTAAATACTTATGTACTTAGAATTACATATAATCAATCCTCAGTTATCTACGATAATGATAGACATGGAACTAATCAACAAGTACAGCAAACCCATAAATATACCCCAAACTAATTCTACCTAACAGCTTCAATCTATAATCTACCTAACTTACCAGATCATATGAAAGAAGCAATGTGTCTGAATGTCATCAACTGGCTTCCTCTCTCTCCCTGAAATGCTGAACGGCACTTAATTCTCATGAAGAAAGAGGGAGAGGAGGCAAAGTAGATAACTGAGAACTGACCATAAAGATTTACTCCCCAGCCCCAATGTATACTATGGATAGAAAGAATTTTAAATCCAAATTGTGAGCAAACTATTTAATTTCAAGAGCCCCAAATTTCTACTTGTGGCAACTGTCAAAAGTATACCCTGAACTGAGTTAGGGATGGGAGCACGTCAAAAATCTAGGATCTATGCCACACCAAGATCACCAAGAAAAGATTCTTACACTCACTAACCATTCTTGTGCCCAGTGTGGGAATTAGAAAAACAAAAAACAACAACAAAAAATATAAAAAACATTGAGCACATGTAAAGGAAAAATTTAAAAGGTGGACATTTACTCCCTTGGTTAAAGGCATACCAACACCTATTTCCTTTGAGTAACAGACAAACATGTCAAATCCTTTCATCTGACCTGCCTCCAAAAAGAAAGAAGAACATGTGCATCACACATTTACAATGGTTTACTAATAAAGAGGATAGACTTACACTTAAAAAAAAAAAGACGGTGGTCGAGTGTAACAATACTGACTCAAACTGAAATGGAAGACAGCTGCTCCCTAGAATACTTTAGGGTTTTTCAGAGTCCTTTTCCATAAAAGGAATATACTTGAAACACATCCCAGTTAGTTGAGATGAGATTGCTAAAATACATACAGAACTAAAAAAAAAACAAAAACAGCCCAACTGACTAAATTTAATCTTCTCAACTCCTAAATGTTCATGTTTGTTGGCAGTCCTTTTTTCCTAGTGCCTACTGCATAACTGCAAGGAATTTGCTTTCTTCCGCAAGGGAGGTCAACAAAGAACTCATGTCCCCAATGGCCATGTTGGTGGTGCTCACAGACAACGCTGGCAATGGGAGGGATGTTCGTGGCGTCGTGAGGCGGGAGGAGCTATGGGAAAGGTTCTGAAGGATACTTGGGCTCAGGGCACCTGACATCAGGCTGGAGTGGTCCCCGTCATCTATGATGGCATCAAAATCAATCTGCACCCCTTCTAGGTCATGGCTGTCGAGACAATCAACTGTGCTCGTCACCTGGTTAGCACATGGGGAAAGTAATTCAGAGTTGTCAGTGCTGGCCCCTTGTAGCAGGCAGTTGGCTTCTGAAATAGAGAATGAACCAGTTTTCATGTCTTGCTGACTGCAGCCAATGGTTTGGTCATAGAACTGACCAGAATAACTCTGCACATTAGAACAGAGTTGATGGGGCTGCCCTTGCATCTCTGTCTTGATGCCGTTGACTCTGCAGGTCTGACTTGTGTCACTGTGCTGCACAGTGAGACTGCCCCTCGGCACAGCTTGGCGCCTGATGCTTCCATAACCAGCACATGGCAGGTAGCTCCTGACAGCTGCCAAACTTGACGGCTGGCCCCCAATGCTGGGGGGCCCTGGCAGGCTGCTCTCTGGCCCTTGATATACATTGATATGTGAGGTAGCGCTAACCTGCCCTGGTATCTGCTGCCCCAGGCGGCCTGTCCCCTGGTGGTGCATGCTGTCACTGAATAGCTGATGAGCCAAGTTCCCCTGTCCCACTGGGTATCGGACTGGCAGGCCATTCACTGTGCTGCCAGCTGATCCACTAGGTACCACCGACAGGCTAAAATTGGACTGGTTCTCATTCCCTTGCATGGTGGTGCTTCTCAACTTTGTCACTTGAATCCCGGCACCACAGGCACTGTTAAGTGAGCTGGGGACCCTGGGCTGCCTGTTGAGGCAGTTCCCATACTGCTGGACCTTATAGGGCTGTTCATGGAAGGCATTTCTGTTGGTGCCAGTCCCACCATTGTGGCCCATCAGGTGCTCTGGCCTGCCATAGGTGCTGCACTGCTCCCCAAGGGTCTGATAGACCCCTGCTGGGCCAGCTCCTTTTCCCAAGGGATTTTGTGGGTGGGGACCCATGTTGTTGTATAACCCAAAGGCTCGAGCTGGCTGAGCTGCGGATCGCTGGCCACATTTCAGCCTAGAGGAAGACAGGTCAGCACTGCCAGAGCTGACCTCATTCCATTGAATGGGCAGGTCAGCTTTGCTGGCTTCAGGGCAGGGCTGTTCTAGCTCACCGTAGTGCTGGCTGGCATGGCTGTCTGGCAATCCAGGTTGGTCAAAGTCACCATGCCCACTCCCCAAGTTGGGCCTGTGGAGCACTTTGCTGTCATCAGAGAGGGCACTCTGGAAGTGCTGTTCATACCCAGCTTGGTTCTGGGAATTTAAGTACTGCACCACATCATCAGGCAAGAAATCCTCATCGTTCAGGTTCACATCATTCTCCATGATTAGGGACTCCAGGGTGACATTCTCAGTAATGCTCGGAGGACAAGGAGGTGAGTGGAAGTGGCGGGACTGGCCACCCTCGGGCCGTGTGTAATTCTGAAGCACTAAGTTACGCTTTTCCAGGGATGGAGGTAAAATTGGAGGGTTGAAGCTATTTAGGCTATTGAAACGCTGCACCCTGGGCAGTGAGAGGCTCTCTGAGACCGTCCTCACTGGGTCACTGGCTCTTCTCACACCATGGCCCAGTGCATCCTGGGGCAGAAGAGGGCGTTGGCTGTAACTGTGGGCTCCGCCATCACTACATCTCCGGGGTGGGTGGACAGGGGGTAGGGCCCCCACGGCCTCCCTGCCGTCCCCAAGCAGGGCCATCCTGGTCTTCAAGCTCATCCTTTCCATGTTGGGCAGTGGTGTGGGCGGTGGCCCACCTGTGGCAGCAGCGTACTTGGCTTTTAGGCGGTACTGCTGGGCTGGTGTAAGGCTGAGCAGGCTTGGCAGGCCGTCGCACTGGCTAGCCTCACTGGACCTGCGTGACGCATCAGTGGAGATGGGGTCATAGGAGTCAGCCACACTCACGTTCTGGGGCCGGCCCTCAGCCTGGGATGCCTCACTGGACCTTCGGCTAGAGAAGCAGGGGGAGATACCAGAGGAGCGGCGACTGCTCAGGTATGCCGAGCTGATGGTGCTGGTGCTGCTGTCTCTCCTATTGAGCATATTCAGCATGGTGACATCTACCCCAGAAAAGTCACTTCTGTTTGGGAGAAGAGTCATGGGCCCACTCAAACTGCAGCTGTTACTAGGCTGGGTGCCTGCTGAGAAAATGTGGGAGAGATGAATTCACTTCAGGATGACAGAAAACAGGTCTCAACAAAGAGTTAAAGAGCCAGGTAGTAACAATTTTCAGTTCCCCACTCCACCTAATCTCTGTCACAGCTGCCCACCTCTGCTGTGCAGCACCAGGAGTGGGTGTTGCTGGAGAGCAATAAAACTTTATTTACAAGCTCAAAGGCAAAATTCTGGGACCCTTGGTTAAATAAATGAGTGAAGACTGCCTGGGTCAATTAAGCTCCTCATAGGTCTAGTGTAAGGGCAGAATGAAAAGCCAAAGGTATATACACAGTACAGAATTGGAGGCATGTTTAAAGGCCAATGGCATTCCAGGATTTCATGTCCACACTCAGGGCTTTCTATGACATACTATAAGACTGTAACACATCTGAGTGGTGGGTTGGGGAGAATCAACCTTGGGTTGTGCTCCAGGCATTCAGTGTTAATCTCAAAAGCAAAAACTGACTGGCTGAAAATGCAAAAGCCTGCTTGCCTTTAACTTGAACTGGACAAATATCAGCAAAGTGGCTGCTAACCTTCCACTTTTAGATGTAGAAACAAAAGAGGTACTGACCACTGCTGGGATTTCCCTCCACTGCTGGGATTTCCCTCCACTGCTGGGATTTCCCTACCTGGTCTAATAGTTATTATGATTTCACTATTAGAATATGAGTCATGCACAGATTTACTTATAATAGATAAATTAATTAAATAACAGAAAACCCTGAGCAAACAAGGGACCTGACACAGAACTCACCATTTCCTATGAGAGGAGAGACCGCAGGGGCTTTAGGTGGTAGGATGGGGTTTAGTCGTGGAAGCATTCCATTCACTTGTTTGAGCCTTTCTAGTTTTACATGCTCCATCCATTTGGTCCCTGCTGGGTTTCTCCTGGCTTGCAGAGCAAGGGCTGTGGTTGCAGTGGAAATGGTTGAGTCCATGATTGGGGTTTCATCAATGGCACCGAGGTCTCCCACACCTCCTCCATCGCTCAGAGGAAGCTCGAACCCACTGTTGGAATAGTTGCTGATGGGGGACTGTTGGCTGCTGCATGAAGACTGACCACCAGGGCTTGGCTGAGATGTCTGTTAGGGTCAGGAAAAAGAAAAGAAATGTTACTGAAAAGGAAAAAGAAGAGGGAGCCAATAACGACAGATAATGCAGATCAAGACCTGCAGGACACTCAGTGGGTTGAATGAGAACTATGTTCTGGCAAATAGAGGTGGCCTCCCTGGACCACAATGACTGACAGACCACTAGGTGGGTGTTCAGAGGGGAGCAATGGATAGAAGGGAGTGCTATAAGTGGTGTGACTGGCATGGTAACAATCATGGAACCCTGTCCAAAATGCCAACTTTGCAAACACACATCCTGGGTTCCAATCTGATCACTTCCATGACTTTATTCTTTGGGCAAATTACTTAGCCACTCTAAACCTTAGTTTTCTTATCTTTAAAATGAGCAATTTATTTATCTTAGAGATTGTTGTACGAAGTAAGTGTGAAGCTCTGAAAGCATACTAAGTGTAAAAAAGAAAGCTTGGGTCATAGTAACTGATTGGCTCAGAGAGCATTAGTGATCACTGTTATAGGTGGTTTCAGTCCTTGGGTTCATTTTTGCTGGGCTAATATACACATGGAAGACATGTTCCAGAAGCACCTACTACCTCCTCCCCAACAAAAGCCTCTCTAAGCTGCTCAGTGGTAGTTTCCCAAGCTTTTTAATAAATCTTTCCCCTTCCTTCTATACTTTCCTACTTAACAGAACCCAAGCCAGGTGTGGGTAAAGCAAATTATAAGAAGTAAAACTTCAATTAACTTAGGTTCTGCTGTACCTAAAGGGGAAAGAAAAGGCTTCAAGCTGCAGCCACTTCAAGTGTGGTGTGTCCCCAGAATTTTGCCAGGACAATCAGGCAATACTGCCCTAACCCCAAGTGGACTGTGCAAGACAATTCTGCAACTAGATGGGAACTTAATCTAGTCCACTGGTTCTCAATCAGTGACAGGCCCATACTAGGGCTGCTTCTTGCCTTCATGTCTGGGGAGCTTCATATAAAATGGCCTGAGTGAGTAGCAGCATAACCCAGAACTATTCCATCTAAAATTCCACTAGTGCCGTGGTTGGTAAACAGAATAATCGTTTTGTTACAGATGAGATAAGTGATGTTCAGAGAAGATGAGTGACTGCCCAAAATCACGAAGTCAATGGTACCACCAGCTGAGATTCCAGCCGAACACTGCTTCATACCTCTGCAGCACCTTCTTCAGTGGTGCTCTGGCCACTATACCTGACCAAAGCCAGGAGAGCAGATTCTCTGGGGAGGGATAAGCACACACACTAAACTACAGACTGCTGTCATCTCAGGTGGAATGCAGTGCTGCCAGGAGGGGGTTTGGGACACAGTTTATACTTTTTCTGCCACCACAAGACACCCAAGCAAATGAACACATCAAATGAGTGCCACATGATATAATAAGTCTGTCCTGGGCAACCAAGCAGAGCAAGGTGAGAAACACAAATCTGCCCATGAGTTCATGAGATTTTGCTTAAGTTTTTGCTTCAGTAGTCATGGTGTGCCAGGCACCTGCTCCAAGGTTCTTGGAGTGGCTGGGACTTTTGATGCCCTTTACTCTGGGTGGTCAAGTCAGAGTGTGGGCGAATGTGGAACTGTGTGCATGTACACAAGCACGTGCAGACACATACTTCCACAGGGCACAGAAGAAGAAACAAATGCACTTATAATTAGAAAACTGCTTAAAGGAGCTCAGATATTTCAATACAGATGACATTGCTAACAAAAAATGTATCTAGATCTTCCTCAAAGAAGGTGGTGCAGGTCTTGGTCTGGATTTACACAAGTTAGCATGGTAATTAGTCTTTGGGGACATCTGCTTGGTTGGCCCCAGTGTGATTTATTATGAAAACCTAGACAAATAGAACAATGAATTTCACCATCTAACTCATTTCCACATGCTAGATGTTCAAAATACAATGCTTCTATGTTTGAAACATATCTATATTCACTACCAATGGAATCACAAAGCACAAAAACTAAATATGAAATGAGTAAAAATTAAATGTTAAAACAAAAACAGAACAAAAAATAAGCCAAAATTCCCTCACCTTATTACCCACTGTCCTTAGGAAGTGAGAACAAGACATTTAGGAGGATTACACAGAAGAAATGTTGGATTAATAAGAAAAAGAAAAAAATTTAATTTTTAGCATGATGATCAAAGATAGGAATTTCCAGAAAGAATATTAGAAATACAAATCTCATGTGCATTAGTAAATGTCTTTGAGGATATCTACCTATATCCGTAAGTATGTGTATATATACATACATAATAATCTTCCTTATGGAAATTTGACTAATTTACATTAACATCACTGAGCCTCAGTTTCCTAACCTATAAAACATGACCTAGTCTCAGCCTCTGTGACATTTTCTTGCCCCATGTTTCTCTGATTTAGTTACTATATAAAATATTTTGCATCTCGTGACATCTCAGATAGCACTGATCCAAATCACTATAGATTGTTATTTGTACCAATTTTGTTTTTAAATAATGGGTATTTGGAGAAGAGAATAATGGGTATTCTCTTCTCCCAAAAAGAAAAAAAAAAACCTTGTTTTTTGAGACAGGTATATACATTAAAGGTACAAGAGATTCTGGGTTCTTAGAATGTCCTAACACCATAAATCATTGTCTTTCAGTGACGTAATCTAAGAAACCACAAATTGACTTTCCTGTTTCATTAAACACTTGAGAATAAACTGTTGAATGTTCTGCACTATTATCATACAGGTGGACTTTATTTTAGCAAGTTGATATGTGCTCCCCCAAAAAAGTGTATAAAACACAGTTTATGACCTGACTAAAGTATAGTGATCAGCCATAATACATATGTAAACTTTTTATGAAGGTGCTTTTTAAAAGCACAGTATAGCTAATCACTGGGAAATGATGATAAATCTGCATTATCCTCATTATTTGTGGTTAGACTTAATGTCATTAAGATACACAAGAGTTCAAAGACAAACTCAGTAAGTCATTAAAATTCAGTAAGTCATTAAATTCTACTCCACTAATTCTGGAATTGTATGTTATTTCCTGCCCAAATGTACTACTGTACAGTGACATCATTCAGAAATTCATAGGTGTCTATACAATTACTGGGCTTTTCTAATTAAAAAAAAATGCTTCCTTAAACTGAGTGTAAATTTGCCTGCTGGACCATTTCCATGAGTCTGGAAGTCTAAGCATGTAACTTCTATCTGGTACTTCCACTCCACCGCCAGAGAATGATGGACTAGAACTCAACACATTCACAGAGCTGACTTCATTACACATATGGACAAATAGAAATGTACTGTCTTCTGATAGCTACTCTTTTCATTTTTCTTGTTGTTTATTGGAAAATCTACATGTTTTATTATGGCAAATACTATATAAAGCAAAATGGAGTTCGAAAGAAGTTATAACAGTGTCATGATCCATACATCCTATTTGTCACTAAACCATAAAAATTTTTGCTGTTGACCTTTCACGCCCTCCCTAGCTCTCCACCTCTTTGGTTCAGGTACCACTGTGAAAATTGTGTTCAGTTTACCAAGCCAATCTCTAGACTGGCACTAGAGTTGTCTTTTCTAAAAAGTCAGCAGCAAAACATAAACCCTTATATCTTCACCACTTTTTACTATACTGTACGTTGCCCTGGAGTCCCATGGCTAGTGCTTAGCTATGCTAGGATCTATCTTCTTCTTTCCTTCCTGAGTGCTGAACTTGGCAGCCATCTCTGCCTCTGCCTTCCATATCATGTCCTTGAGTTTCCCTGATACTTAGCTCATGTCTTAAATGCTCTTACACAGATGTGTGTTAAAGCCCCAATTGTATTTGCTTTTTGGTCTGCATTTCCCAATGAACTATAAAACCCTAAAAGATAGGGACAATGACTTATTTATCTTGGCATCATCAGGGCAAATAAGACAGAAAACTTGTTTACAGAAAAACCCAAAAAATGATTTTCTACATTATATTGGAAATGTAGACAATTTTACCTGCCACAGGATGGTATAGCTGTAGATCAATTTTGAAACCATTCAGGAAACCTTGAAACTCTTTTTGGAGCTGAACTATTATTCTATGCAGAGCAACTCTGAGTAAGCAATCCATGTCCTGACTGAACTCCTGACCTCCTTAAGTCAGATAGCTTACCGCAGTGAGGATGGGGGCAGTCTATGCCCTTTCTTGCTCTTTGAAATGACCAAGGACGGTTTTGGGAAAATCAGAAGGAAAGTGAATGACATACCATGGGCTTCTCCGCCTTGACCGTTTTCACCTGGAGGCATTCCTCCCGCTTTGAGGTAGTGTTGCTGAGGTCTTTCTGCTCACCAAGGGCTCCCTGAGTCTGGCGGCCGGGTGACCTGGACTGTGAATGGCTGCCAGAATCTCGTGGGGGTGGGGGCCGAGGATGTATGTCCCCACGCTGCTTCTTGGTAACATGAGCCTCTGGACCATGCACTGTCTTCACGTGTTTCCGAAGGGAGCTTGGGTCTGTGTAGCGCTTAGTGCAGCCTGGGATTTTGCACACGTATGGTTTCTACCAAATGCCATGAGAATGAAATAACCAATTGTTAGGAAAGTAATTATGCCCAGCCCAACAGTCTTCTGTGGTTGCTCATTATATTTTTAATTCTTTAAAAGCACTTTCACAAAGCTTTGAGGTGTCCAAATACCTCTAAATGATACAAAGGCTTAATAAAGGCCATTTGAACATTGTCCAGGGTCTACAGAATTTAGCTTTAAGACATTACTGTCTTAGAAAGTGCTAAGAACATAAAAAATGCATTTATAATCTTGGAAACACTTATCCTTTGAGTAGGAAGAAGTATTGTGGTGTCACAGTAGGTGCTGAATAGATATTTGATGATGACATTGATGGGGATGATGATAATGACAGAAAAAGGAATAAAAGATACCCATCATTTAATCAGAAGAACACATATATTACATACCTTTTGGTAGAGTATATGTACAAAACTTCTTATGGATGTTCTAGTTCTCATTCTACCTCCTTTGAAAATGTGCTTTTTACACATAGGCATAAAAATTTTTCCTAGAGTCTTCCATGTTAGGTATCACTAAAATATGTTCCTTTGGGTACTATTATAACTCTGTGGGGATGGTCAGGGCTCAGAATATCCAGAACCTTTATGATCTTCAAACTTGTAAAGCCCTATTAGAGCTTCCATAAATGCTCACTTGTAAACTGAAAGGGCTAATGGATGGTGTTCTGCAGTTGATAATTCCTGGTCTAGGCTCTGCTCCTGAGGACTAAGGTCTATAAAGTATTTCCTGCTAATGTCATTTTCTACATGGGCCAGTGATCAAACCTATAGAAAGAGTCATATAAAATTATATAGATGTTTACAGCTGAATATTTACTCAAATTATAGAACTGTTGGAATTGTATTCATGACCAACATCAGAATTATGATTTGGTTTACTTGGCTTGAAATATAACATATTCATGGATGCTTATATAAATGTGGAAAAAATATATATCAGAAGATGAACTATTATAAACTATTAGGTAAGCTATAGTCATAAAAAGCATGATTAATATAATGCATCCATTATATTAAAAAGATGCCCTATTTTATACAGTGTATGTGTCTAAAAGATGCATTTTCACTAAAAGCCCAAGAACAGACTTGAGTGCTACCTAAAATGATGAAAGGTCCTAATGTGGTGAAGCAAAGATTATGAAAATTATCCTGAGAGACTTTACCTCCAAATTTGAGATACTTTTGGATAGAAATAATTCCATTAACTATGAATTACTTCTATTCAGAAGCTCCTGTGATTTGCAGCCATATATATACACATATAAAATTTAGCGAAATAATCACATCAAATTCTATGCATTAGAGACAGAAGAATGGCTCCAACAATTAGTGCTATTACCTTATAGTATTCTGACATTGGCCCTGTGCTTGCTCACTGCACTGCTATGACAGGCTGCTCCATCAGCAGACTGGGATGTGTGGGGCAGATGTATGGGGACTGAGGGAAGGTTGGGGAGGAGGTTGCAGGGAGCACAAGGCCATGCCAGCATCACATGTTTAAAGAACTACTCTTCCCCAAAATATATGCATGTAGACACTATGGATTCTCTTGGAAATGAGGACTAAGCTATAAGTGGAATGAGTCTACAAATGTTTTTCAGCTCCTGAATTTCCAGGAACAGCAGCACATATGTATGTGCCCAGGTGCCATTGTATGTAAATATATACATTATCCACCTGCAAAAATCCATACAGGTTCAGGAAACTTAGGCTTTGTGACAAAACACATTTATGAACTATATAACTCAATTACATAGTTTAGCCCCCAACTTCTGTTGTCACCAATGACTGAAGTGAAATATAACTAGATGAAGGTAAATGCTGTCAGTCTTTCTGAGTTAACATATGCACATTTCCTGTCCTGGATGTTCCATGGTTGGTACCTTTTTGACTCACTGCACTCAAAGATACTTTGTAAAAGCAATTTTTGTACTGACTTTGTAAAATTTACCTCCCCCAAATTTTTCAATGCACATTTAATGATCCTTGCTATGTCCAAGACTCTCTGAACACAAAGTTATATACAATAGGATTTGATCTCAAAGATTATAAAATAGGGTAAGAAAAATAAGAATGTAATTATCTACAATACAAAGTGTGAATATTACAGAAGGATATGGGTAGAGGGAAATCATATTTCAGTTGGGATGATCATGAGAGGTATTAAATTTCTATATTTGGGTATAATGCCCAGCTCATTGGGTCATTGTAAAGGTTAAATAAGATAATGTACACGAAGTGCTTACCACAATGTGTTGCACAAAGTAAATTCCCAATAAATAGTGCTTTTATTAGTAGGAGGCATTGTAGTTGTTTCTTCAAAGAATAATAAGATTCTGAGAGATAAGAATGAGGGCCAGAGGGTGCAAAAAAATTGAAGTAATCTGAGCAAAGGTCAGCAGCAGAACCACTTCATGCATGTGGATATAACTATTCATGCACAGGCTGTCTGGAAGGTTCTATTCATGGTCACTATGATAAATGGTCAAGACTACAAGAGCAGGCATGTGTTGGTTGTGAACAGGTATGAACCTAAGGGGTCTAAACATTTCCTACAGGAAAGAGGGAGGCACTAGAACTTTCTGGAGAGGGAGACTGAACTAAATCAGAGCTCAAGGGAACTAGCTTAGTGTGGCTTTGGGAGGAACATAAGCTACATGGTCTGGAGAGGAGTGCTGAACTAGCTTCCTCAAATGGGAAATCACTGCCTCCCTGTTCTAGGCCACTGTATTCCCTGCTGCACCTGCAACAGCAAAGTGCTTGGCACATTGTCAATATTTGTTTAGTAAATGAATGAAGTACAAATAAGAAAGCAAATAAATGAGGGAAGACATGTAGATTTATTTAGGATTGTGAGATTATACAATACTGGATTTCCTAGAAAAACTTAATTTTAGTGTACCTGAAACTGTTTATCATTCATTTGCAAGGACAAGCCTTGTATAAAGAACAGAGAAAAATAATTTACATGTTTGTGGGGGGGCTGGGATGGGAGAAATAGACAAAAAACTGTACTTAAAAATAACTAAATAAAAATTTTTAAAAATAAATAAAACATATTGATAAAATCCTAAAAAAATAAAATTTCATTTATGTGTTGATGCTCAATATTGATTATTTTAGGTAAATCGCTCAACTTTGGTGTCAGATAGGTACTAAACTTATTGGGGTATTGATTTTGTAATGTTAAATAACTATGTTGTATACACAAAACTAATACAATAGTGTATGTCAACTGTAATAGGAAAAGTTTTTAAAAATTATTTAAAAATTGTTCAATCTTGGTAAAAATAATATTAACCAAAATACCTTTAAAGTTCACAACAGATATTAAATTCTCTTACAGCACAGCACTTTTTACCTCAAGAATATAAGCTCAACTATAACATACTTAATTACAGCAAACATGCATGTACACGTTTTAAGTTCATGAAAAGATAAAAAGCTCAGTGGTATGTTTATATGTGTGCATTGCTAATCCCAACATACACACTACCTAAATTTCTCCACAATAACAGGAGACCACCTTGGCCTAAAATCTATAGGAATGAGTAACATCTAATTTTCTAGTGAAAATTATACTTAAATATACTGAATATAGTTGAATATATTAATTAAACTCTAAGTTACTCAAATCCCCTAAAACATTTTAAGTATAAAGATGTCATTCCCAGATCATACAAAAATAATCCTTTTAAAAGTTGCATAATTCATCAGCATTTAGTACATTTACAATGTTGTGTAAATTTCACCACTATCGAATTCCAGAATATTTTCAGCATTCTAAGAAGAAATCCTGTACCTATTAGCAGCCACTTCTATACTCACTCCCAGCCTTTGCCAACCACTACTATACTACTCTGTGCATTTACCTTCTCTAGACTCTCTAAAATTCTGTATGAAACAAGTATAACAGATTACACTGTAACTATTGCACATGGTAAAAGCATTTTTGACACAAATAAGGAAATGCGGCATCCTTCCTAAAATATCTTCAAATAGTTGATCAGAAATAAGAGATTCCAAATGATGTTTCCTTATTCCACCACAAACTTTTCAAAAGGACTCTGTGTACGTGGACCTGTATGTGTAACTTTGTCAGTGTGCTTTTAGAGAGTGTGGTTGATTTCATTAGAGATGTTTTTGCTTTGCTACTTCTGCTGAAAAGAAACTCATTGAGGACCATCTTTGCCACCTTAAAGCCAATGACCAATGAGCTGCTGGCACACTCTGTTTTTAATCAGATTCTCTCAACTCTCCATCTGGAAGATCATGAATGGGCCTGATGGCACCTTGTGAGATCAGAAGATAGCCACGCCAAGGTCAAAATGCTTCTTTCTTTCCTTCTCACATTTCAAGCAAAATGATGGTGATATACTTTGTGGGGTAGAACTATATTTCATATTACCAAATCCTAGTTAGTTCTCCTATTTCTACAAAAACCGTCAGAGCCCTTTTATTAATCTCTGGATTCATTCAAGATAAGGTTCATAGAATTTGAGCTAGATCTTCAAGGAGAAGTTGGAGATCTCTAGTAAGGCAGGAATTAAAATGTAAGCAAAATTGAAATAATTTTCATTCTTATGTTTCTCTGAAATTTTGAGGGAATAACTATCTAAAAATAACAACATCACAACTGGACCACCCACTAACCATGAAGCTTCACTCAGTATGTTAAATAACTGACTAGAAACCATTCTAAGTTTTTGAGAATAACTTTCAAGATCCACTGGAATTTAGAATGTTTGGAAATCATATATATTTAGCCAAGGCTGGTTGCTCTGTCAAAGTCTTTTTTTGATGCAATGCATCTGAAGATACCACCTAAAGAAAGCAAATGAAAGTGGTCCTTTCAGTGGAAAGTTGTCAGCTGTCAACATGCTGCTTTCAAATTTCTCCTTGGTGCTCACAGGGTCATCCTTTTCATGGATTCATATTATTCCAGGCCCAGCAAGTGGACAGAATTTCAAGTTAAATGTTCCTACTGTTTGACCAGTAGAGGGCAGTTCTGAAAGTAGCGAAACATGCTTGCCAAAGGTTTTAAGCAGTTCCTTCTTCATCTGCATTATTCTACAAAACAGGCCCAGTGTTTAGCCCTACCTCAAAGGCCCATTCTAGCATTCACCTACAGCATCAGTGTTCACTCATGCTGGGGATGATCAAGAGGAAATAGAATGGAAACATTCTAATAACAGCCACTAAGGAAACAAAACTTATCTCTCTGCATGTAGTCTCTGCAAAGGGTCATTGTTTCTACCCACAACCTCTGGGCCCCAAGTGTGTCCCCTGAGGGAGCCTTACCTCATTGGAATGTGTTCTGTTTTGGTGCTTGGCACGATCAGAAGCATTTGAGAAAGCCTTGTTGCAACCTTCATGCTCACAGACATATGGTTTCTCTCCAGTGTGCGATCTCAAGTGTGTTTTCAAGTTTTCTAGTCTTGAGTAGGCCTTTGTGCAACCTTCAAACTGAAGACAACAAGTAAATATGGATCACTCCACACAATAACAGCATATGCTTAACATTCCCTCAAAGTTGATGGAAGACTTGACATTTTGAGGGTCAGCAGCTTTTTAAAATCAAGGAACAAACATCCACTAAACTCTGCATTTATTAATATTCAGTTGGGGCTCACTGCATTTATTGGAATTCAGTTGGAGAGAAAGCATTTTCAGTGCTAGTAAAAGTCCAGGAGGTTTCTTTCTTAAGAGAACACTCCGTGGTCAATGGGTTTCATTATCTTTCACTGATCTTGAATTCCCACTGATTTCAGGTTCAGCACAAAGCTCATTATATGGCTTTGTGTCCATACAAAGGCATGGAACTTGATCATGTTTATAAAGGGCCTTTAAAATGTAAAATATCGGGGCTGAGCAGTGTCCAGTGTGCCTGGCTTGCATTTCAGTGAAAGAAGGCTGTTGGGACCCACCATGACTGGTCTCAGAAGCTGTAACCCCCCATGGCTAAGGCTGAGTAAAAAGACCTTGGGACCATAAGCCACTAAGGAAACAAAACTTATCCCCTCATCAGGGGTACAGCCTCTGCCCCCTTGACTTCACTCTGCTTGGCTCCTGGAGGATGGCTGGATAGTCAATGACAGACAAGATTCTTCAAGGAGGGACAACCTAAGACAAGCACAGTCTCAAGGGGGCACCCATCAGGGAAGGACTTAGAGGACTATAGAAAACCTTCTGCTTTGTCATAGCCAAAGTCCTCATTTTATCTGTAAAAGGTCTCCTAATCTCTTGGCTGCCTGCATCCCACACCTGATTTAGGCCTGAAACAATGCTGGAGGGTGGTGCAGCCCTTTGCTAGAAAGGGTGGTTCTGGGGGTGGGGGTGGGGTAGATCAGGCCTAAGAATGAATGCATAAAATCCTGTGAAACCTGCTTTGTTAAGAATACCCTCAATTTAAATGTTGAAGGTCCAAGCATAAAATGAGTTTGTTTCCCAAAGTTTTATGGCCCTTTGACTATCTGACTCTGACTCCGAATAAGCCCTTATAATTATTTAAATGTTATCTATTCCTTGATCACTAATGCCTGACAATGACTGATGAGCTTTATGCGATGTATTCCTTTGCAAATTAAACCCAATAAAAGCCCACTGAGAAACAGGCTCATGGCCTTTCTCCCCTGAGAGACTGGTCAGTCTTTTCTCCCCAAGCAGATCATGTCTTGGTAGACTTATTCTCATCCAAGATGGTGGCTAGCAGGTCAGAAGCACCATCTGCCCACAGAGCTCCCCCAGCAGAAGGCTTAGCCTCCTAGGAGTCCTAGCCTGCCTGTGGGTAGTTCTATACCGGGCCATGAGAACAGATTGGGAGGGTGAGAAAAAAACTTTAAAGCCATATAGGTTATATTTTTAAAAATTCAATGTAAGCTTTTCAGATCAAAGCTGGTATCTGCCTATGCCCTCCAAGTCCTTTGACAGAATGGACATTAGCATTGGGGCAGGCATGGTGGCTGTGTGCTCATTTGCCGTGCCAGCCAGCATGTCCCAGCCTCCGCCTGCCCACCTGCCATGCTGCAGAGCTGTGCTGACCACTGTGGTACCCGCTAGCCACACAGGATTATTTGGATTTAAATTTCCTAAAAGTAAATTAAATTAAAAAATTTGTTGCCTGGTTACTCTAGCCACATTTCAAAAGTGCTTAAGAGGTACATGTGGCTTGTGGCTACCACGTTGGACAGTATAGTTCTGGAACATGTCCATCATTCCCAAAGTTCAGCCATCAGCATTCTTTCTCCATTTCTTGTTTCTCTTCCATTTCAGAAATTAGTCTCAAACACCGTTCTATTTTCACAGATAGCACCCACCACCCAACCATGCCATCCTTAAACTGGAGTTATGACACACAACCCTGAGAATATGACAAAGGACCCATATGAATCCTGATACCCACATGTGTGAGGTGATTCCCATGTTGACAGCATGAGACACCCGTGTACTCACAGTGCATTTGTGAGGTTTCTCTCCTGTGTGTCTTCTCATATGCACTACCAGCATATACTGGGCTTTGAAGGGTTTCTGCTCTCTTGAGCAATCCAGCCACCGGCACACAAATTCCTTCTTTTCTCCATGGATATGGTCATTATTTATATGCTAGGGTTTGAAAAAAGAGAGAAAATAAATAAAAATAAATTACTGATTTCTAAAGGCAAAAAGGGGAATGTGAAAAAGGCCTTAAAGATTACACGATAACTTTACTATATTACAGACTATTTGTTCTAGTTGGCATATTTCTAAAGTAAATTTGCTCTTACTGTGTATGCGTACTTCCTAACTAACAGAAGTGACACTATTTGGAGGAAGCCTGATGTCCCAGAGAAAGTAGTGCATAGAGCATCTGAGGAGTGAAGTTGTGAAACAGGGTGAGCCACAGGTGTCTTCTCTGGGCCTCTGTTATTTTTCATCTGCCAAGTACGGGCCAAGGCTAAATGCCCACAGAGGTGCTTTCCAGCTCTCATGCACTCTAAGCCTTCAGTTAGAGCCATGGCTAACTGCAGAAAAAGAACACGTACCCATGTGTGCACACACATACAATTTTATGAGAAGGAGCAAAACAAACAAAAAAATCAACCCACAAAGCACTTCTTCATACTACATTTTATTTCCAATTAGTAGATTTTTTTTTCTTGAATAAGAAATGCAGAGAAATTAACTTAGATATTGGAGATGAAAACCAGGTGATCATCAACAAAATGCTTAGTTTCTCAGGATCTTGGTTGTCTGCACATACAAAATAAAGAAATAGATTACCTAGTTCTAAGGTTATTTCCAGTCCTATAACTCAATTAATTTAGCTTTTAAAACAAATATGAACTTCCCTGAACTCCTCAACAATTCAAAGTTTTAGAATCTTTTTTTACAGAGTTCCTTGGGTTCATATATTAAGTGCTCTACAACCGGGAGACACAAGAAACTGACAGCAGCACCAGAAGAGAAGGTTCTGAATTTGGATCAAATTGAAATGTCCAATTATGAATTACTGGGGAAATTTGTGTACTAGGATGATCTTGTTGATGTTATTCTCTGGTCACCCCACATTTTTATTTGCCTTAATGTAAGGGTTTTTCAAATACTTTCTCAAACATACATAGAAATATACTACTAAAAGTTTTGTGCAATAAGAAAAATCTCCCCTTGGGTCCCATGAGCTGCACAGCGGTGACAGAACATTTAATTACTTTCCTGCCTAGGCTCTGGCAACTCAGTAAGTGGTCTCTGGGGGCCTGAGCCTATGATTCTGCCATGCCTTTCCCAGTTACTCCACTAGGTGGCTAACTGCTGCAGGGAGACAACGAAGTTGTGCTGGGCTGTCTCTGGGGTTGAAAACTGAATGGGGGCAGAGAAAAGCAATTAACTTATTTTTTTCTCAAGCAGCTTTCAGAAAGCACAGGGAACAGAAGAGAGTGGGTAATACAGGGAAGCACACAAGGAGACAGCCAGGATCCTTTCAAAAGCTCTGAAGATGAGAAGGAAACCACTCAGAATCACTCATATGCATGAGTGTAGCAACCCAAAGGCAAACAGGTGGGGGTTTCCCAAAAAAAGTGAACTGCCCTAAGTATTATTGTTTGTTAAAAGTTACACTGGTGCACATAAGTACATGAAGATAACATGTCCTGGACAGAAGACAGCACACAATCTTTAAACTTATGCTTCTACTACACTTTTGCAGTCCATTCATATCACGCAGGATTGTCCCACCTATGTGTGAATATCCAGCATTTAAGCCCCTGTAAGACAGAGGGGTTCTATGAATTCTCCTTTTCGGGGATAAAAAAGTAATGATCATACAAAATCACTCCAGAAAAATTGCCCTTGGTTAAGTTTTTTTCTAAGGTACTGTAAATAAAGTTCCTTGAATTGACTGATATACATGAAAGGGAAAGAAAAAGGAAGGAGGGAGGTAGATAAAGTTAAAATCGAAAAAAATTAATTAGAATTTGGGCTGAGTCAGCTCCTTAAGGCCAGGGCCCTGTCTTTTAGTTTCAAATTCTCAGCAATTGACAACTGTCCCTGGTACTTGGTAGGGACTCAGTAAATATTTGGTGAATTGATTTGAGTCATGCAGCAAACTAAACTTTCACTGCACAAAAGAAATTATACTTGATGCTCTTGCTTGTATTTTCAACTTCATTTTACCTAGTAGCCATACAATAAGATTTTAATATACGGTATTACATTACTTTAAAATAACATACTATCAAGACTCCAAGAGTATTTGAAAGATATCCAAATATAAATCCTATTTTGCTGAGTAGAATACATGGAATACAATGTGATTGCATTTCCCTCTCACATATTTATGTTCGTACAGACTGCAACTCCACACCACACCTGGTGCTGAAGGGATCAGAGAGACATGAGTCCTGCCCTAAGAAAATTAGAGTCTATTAAAGGAAATAGATAATGGCCTAAGTTACTATACAACTATAGTTATGATTGATGTCATGAAGGGAAATAAAAAGGTTTTACACAATTCACTGGGGATCCCAAATCCACGTGGAGCATTAAAGTCACCCTCTTCAGTGAAGCAGCTTTTTAAAAATCAGACTGGAAGGATGAGTGCAGATCCACCCGGGGTGCAGGTAAGAATGGGAGTGGGGAGACAGGGTGCCACTGCAGCAAGATGAAACAGAAGCACCTGCAAAAGGACAGAACTTGGTGCCTCTGAGGACCCAAGTGAAGAACACACACGGCAGGAAAATGGGTCAGGCAGACAAAGGATGCTCTAGTACTGCCACTATTTGGTTCAGTATGTGGCTTGGGCTGCCAGGGGCCCTGGTAGGTACCACTGTGGTAGCCCAGGTTGGCCCACCTAAAATGCAGCATGCAGGGTCAGGTCTCCAGCATGTAGACTGCAGGATATATCCATGGAAAAAACTTGCACACACCCCATCAGAGCCAGACCCTAGATAGAAGCTAGCCCTAGATTTGGAGGTTAACTGACATTACTTAGGGGAACTGGGTGACCAGCTGGAAAGGTACTAACAGTGGCCAGTGACATAAGAGGCTCTTGTCTGTTCTTTCCAACACATTGGAGGACCTAGACTCTAGGAAAGGGAAAACGTGGGGGGCAGAGTAGGAACAAACACCCCTAGTCCCTTGAGTGTATGCCTGGTTGGTAAAGGGAGGGAAGTTGCTAAAGGGTCATGAAGTTAGAAGGTTAAACTGGACAGGCTTTAGTAACCACAGGTGACAGACAGGTAGTAGAAGATGCTTACAAGGCTGTTGGGGATCTGCTACTAAGCTGAGATAATGTTAGAAAATTCCAGTGGTAGGAATCCCACACCAATCAGCAAGCATAACTTGCAGTATTGTCTCTATATAACCGGGAAAGGCAAGGACCTGCACTGGACAGTGGAGGCATCCTCACCTTGAGAAAGCTTACCATCTTGGGAATTTTCCCTTCAGCCCCTAAAAGAGCCCTTCATTTATCTAACACGCTTTTTGTAATTTTTTGAAACTGCTTGAGTGACAGCTTGGATGGAGATCACAAGTTCTTTTTCCTGAAATGCATTTCTACTACCTCAGCTGGCAGGGACTAGGTCCCGTTGTTTGTCTTTACAGTCCAAACACTGAGCAAAGGGCATAATTAATTATTATAAAGAATACAGTGAAGATACTGCTGCCTGAGATCTCTGATATTTTCCTCCATATATTTTCCTTTAGGAGTTTTCTGGTGTTCCGATGTATATTTAAGTCTTTTATCCATCTCGAGTTTACTTTTGTGTATAGTGGAAGTTGGTGGTGCAGTTTCTGATTTTTACATGTGGCTGTCCAGATCTCCCAACACCATTTGTTGAAGAGGCTATTGTTACTCCATTTTATGCTTCTTCCCCCTTGGTCAAATATTAATTGACCATAGAGATTTGGGTTTATTTCTGGGTTCTCTATTCTGTTCCATTGATCTATATGTCTGCTCTTATGCCAGTACCACACCGTTTTGATTACCATGGCCTGGTAATATAGTTTTATATCAGGTATTCTGATCCCTCCTAATTTGTTCTTCTTTTTCAAAACATCTTCTATTCAGGGTTGTTTATGGTTCAATATATATTTTTGAATATTTGTTCTATATCTGTGAAATGTGTTTTTGGTATTTTAATAGTGATTGCAATGAATCTATAAATTGCATTGAGTACTATGGACATTTTGATGATTTTAATTCTTACAATTCATGAAAACAGTATATACTTCCATTTGTTTGTGTCTTCCTTAATTTCTTTCTTCAGTGTTGTGTAGTTTCCTGAGTACAGGTTACTTACCTCCTTGGTTAGGTTTATTCCTAGATACTTTATTTTTCTCGTTGCTATAGCAAGTAGGATGTTTTTCCTGATTTCTGTTTCTAATATTTCATTGTTGGTATATAAAAATGCCTTCAATTTCTGAATATTGATTTTGTATGCTTTTGTTTTTTCAAATTCACTTACTAGGTTGAGTGGTTTTTTTTGTGGAGTCCGTAGGATTTTCTATGTACGCTATTATGTCATCTGCAAACAATGACAATTTTGCTTCCTCCTTTCCAATTTGAATGTCTTTTATTTCTTTTTCTTGTCTGATTGCTATGGCTAGGACTTCCAATACTATGTTGAACAGAAGTGGTAAAAGCAGACATCCTTGTCTTGCGCCTGATCTTAGTGGGAAAGCTTTTAGTTTCCTGGAAAACCACTTCAAAAGAACCTATGCACCCCAATGTTCATAGCAGCACAATTCACAATAGCCAAGTGGTGGAAGCAACCTAAGTGCCAACCAGTAGATGAGTGGATAAAAAACTATGGTACATTTACACAATGGAGTACTATGCAGCAGAAAGAAGGAAGGAGCTCCTACCCTTTGCAACAGCATGGATGGAATTGGAGAGCATTATGCTAAGTGAAATAAGCCAGGCAGTGAAAAGATAAATACTATATGATCTCATCTATAAGTGGAACCTAATGAACAAAACAAACAAGCAAGCAGAATATAACCAGAGACATTGAAATAAAGAACAAACTGACAGTAACTAGAGGGGAGATGGGAGGGGAAAATATGGAGTAAAGGGGGAAGGGTTATCAAGGAACATGTATAAAGGAAAGGAATGGGAGGTGGGGATG